TGATGAACAAGTCCTGACCTTGACTCGCCGAGTTGTATGAACAACTCATCGAGTTCATCTTCAAACATACGAAGATTGCCTTGGACTCGCCGAGTCTGTTCTAGCACTCGTCAAGTGTCATGAACTCCAGGTCTAAAACTAAGTCCAATGTGTTGGGTCACTCCTTCTGTCTTACTACAACCCTTCTAATACCCAACTGAGTTCATTTGACCCTCAACAGATATGGGACTCAAAGCCTTAGAATCATCGAGTCCCAAGAACGGACTCGCTAAGTCAATAACATCCACACCCTAAATCCTCGATTTCTTATGTACAACACTTGTCAAAATAATAGATCCAAGCCCCTAAGCTCGATCTAGCACGTAAAGTTACGAACTTTATGTGCATGCATGAGACTTTTGAGCCAAAAAGGCTCTAAAATCGCTCTTTTGTTGCATGGGGCCTTCCTTGGGTGCAAAAGCAACCAAAATTTGTCTTGTGACTCTTCCCAAGTGCTAGATCCGAAGTATTGACCCCCAACCATGTTTGCATATCATGGTTGGTCACCTCATATGGCTTAAAAGCCCCAAATCTTCCCCAAAAAGGGATCTAACAAATAAACAAGCAAGGTACAGACTTTATACTTTTCAAAGACTGCAAATGATGAACCAAACTCGAATCCTTCAGCCTCCTCTTGATCCTTCTATGCGCTTCCTTCTTCCTTGAGATCAAAACCCACAAAAATCACTCAAAATCCTTAGATCTTGCACCAAAACACTTAGGGTTTGCTATGAAGGGTCTTTGGGAGCATTAGGGACGAGTGGTAGCTGAAAGAGATGATTAAATAGGGTGCAAACCCTCATATTAGGGTTTTGTCCAGTCAGAGCCTACTCGTCGAGTCTGGATGCGGACTCGACGAGTCCATCACTTAAGTCCCGTGTCCAATCTCACTCCTACTCGACGAGTTGGGCCTTCAACTCGCCGAGTCCCAGGCCAAAAATGCAAATACAAAAAAAATAAATTACATATCAAGAACCTAGTGCTACACCAATATCAACAAATAGTGGTGCCTCTAACATCGTCATCTTCATCTAATGGTAGTAGCACCTCTGATTTAACATTTCTTTGATTTTTAAATCACACGGATCCTGGTGGCATCGACGGATGAAGTTGACAAAAAAAAAAAAAGAATTGAAAAGAGGAGTTGTTTGCAGCAGGTAGCAATTTATTACATTTCAATACTCGATTTTTGTTCTTGCTATATTTTTGTTGCTGTTAGCGATGGAACAAGTAATCTGATATATCTCATTTTTCTATTATTTCTCGTTTTCACTTGCTTAATATGTGTTCGGGTGTTCTAAATCTTTGTGTGTGTGTTTGATATGTGAAGAGTATGAAACAGGTTGTGACTTTTCAAGGCGTGAGTTACGCTAATTTCATAGGTTCCCACTTTTGGAACTTCCAGGTAAATCTACACCCTTGCTTTTTGTGGATCTAATGATACATTCATGAAACATTACCATCGATCTATTCAACTATGTAGCTTCTCTCATCAATGATTTTTCTGAAGCTTCTCGTTTCATTTTGTTGTTTCCCTTTTTAAGGATGGATTGTTGTGTCATTCAAATGTGGTTTATGAATCTGTGATTCATTCTATTTCTCTTCCTTTTCAGATGAAAAGAATCGGTCCTAATGGTGAATCGTGGAATGAATGTGGAGCCATCTATTTATATGAAGGGATACAAATTATATCATGGAAAGGGAGGTAAGATTTTGTTACTATCCTCAATGGTGCAATGACAACACCATCATTAGTGGGTATATTTTTGTCCAAAATCAGTAAATTAATTTTTTTTATCATAATTGTATTGTTTATAATATGGTGATTTATTAATCCAGGTAGACAATTTAAGAAATCTTTGCATGAAAACTTGCAATTTTTGACCCCTGAAATGGAACATGATGTGGAAGACTTGAAAGCCATTGAATCAGTTATTGTGCAGGGATCTCTTGGATCTGGTATGCAGACATGTTTGTTTTGTGTTTTTTAAGCACATTGACATATCCTTTTTGTATTGATCTGTTTTCTTGTTCTTGAAATAGGTATTGTAGATACAAAAGTGTTAGGTATTGTAGATACAAAAGTGTTGGTAGAATTGTTCTCAATGTACGAAGAATGGCAAGAAAAGTTGGGTGAAATAAAATCCAAAGAACTTTTCATTATAGAATTAAGGGATTTAGAAAGAGTAAGAAATATGTTTTTTTTATCTCTTTGAAAATATTAGTCGTATGTTTGGATACATACAAGTATATACTTGATTATGTACCAAAAATTCTCTAATTTAAATTGATTCTATAGGATCATGTTATGCATTGAATTAAGCCTTAGACTGTTGGTGTATGTGTTTATTTGGTTGTATTTCAAGATTTTATTTTTAGTTATACTGATACTTGAAGAATGTGAAGTGATTGCCTCCTTTTTCTAGTTGTGAATTGGAACCATAATGTATTGGCATTACCGATTTAATAAAAATGTCAAAAAAGTTAAAAACAGTAAAAGGACCAGGTTATATGTTAGAGAACCGGGGTACATGGTTATACAAAAATGCTTCTGCTTAGCATGAAAGGACCCAATTTTGTTCAAAGGAACCAGGTTATATTATATTAATAGGCCCCGGTTGTTGAACCGGGTCTTATTAGTTTTTTGAAATATGACTTGCCTATAAGAAACCCGGTTGAGAACCAGGTTCTTTTAAGCTTTTAACCGGGTTCTTTTACCAATTTTGTAGTAGTGCCTCCACCTCCTCCAACACCCACCACCTACCACCACCGCTACACACCACCACCACCGGTATCTCCGTTACCACCAGCTTCCACGCACTAGTACCATCACCTCCACCACCGCGACCACTGTCACTGTGACCCACCACCTTATCACTACCTTCGCTATGACCACCACCACACATCACCATCGTTACCACTCGCTACACACCACCTCTACACCACCCACCACAACCACAACCACCCAAAACCACCACTATTACCATCACTCTCCACCTCCACCATCATCATCACCTCTACCACCACACTACCTTCCATCACCACCATCATTCACGACCCTGATCATACCATCATTGCCACCACCACTGTCATCACCATCGCCACCACCACCAACACATTCGCCACCACCTTCATCACCACCACCGTTACTACCATCACTGCCACCTCCATCACTGCACCACCCACCACCTCTACCACTACTCATGACTGCCACCATCACCATCACAATTACTACCACCACCACTATCATCACCTCTACCACTACCCAACATCACCGTCGTCGCCATCATCACTGCTATTTCCACCATAAACATCATCGGCACCATCACCATCATTTACTAATTTTATAATATATATTATATATTTTTACGTATAAGTTAAAAAACAAAGTAAAAAAAGGAAAAAAAAATCTTGTTATTTTATATTATTTCAGTTTTATTTTCTATCAACCAAACATATAATATAAAATTTGATTTAAATTTCATTTCTATCAACCAAACAAAATATAGAATTAGATTGCAATTCATGACAGATTTTAATTCATTAACAAATTTCGATTCCATCAAAAACATTTTGCGAATCAAACGCTACCTTATTCAACTTATACCGACATAAAACCAATAATATATATATATATATATTATATATATATATATATAATATATATATATATATATATTTTTTTTTTTTTTTTTTTGCTTTGTCAAACATAGCCTAGGTTAGGGTCAACTTAAAGCCCAAATCCCTTTATGTAGATAAGTCGATTAATTTATACTTTTTTTTTTTACCTTCGAGAATTCACATTAAAAGGATTGATGTAGATAAATACAAAACCCACAACCTTCAAGGGTAACGGTTGAATTTTTTTAACACGATAGCTATTGTGTAGCTGTCTTTAAATATCTATACCGCTCATATATATCCATATCTTATAAAGAGTAAATTGCATGGTAATAATCCATAATATAAGGGAATTTTGTTTTACTATTTATATATTTAAAATCAGTAATTTACTATTCAAATTTCAAAAAAACAATTGAAATAAGTCTTGACAGACCTTAACTGTGAGGATGCCTTATTTGGTATTTGGATTCGGATCCAATTCCAAACCCATTTATATGAAACTGGTTCGATTTATTTGGACGGGTCTCATTTAAATGGATTATATTTAAAGTTGGAAACCCAATTAAGACGAAATTAATTGAAATTGATCACGAGATCGTGTAAAAAAATCAGAAAAATCTGTTGGAAAGTCGAATAAAACTGGTTCAAACTGGCGACACCTTTCTACATAAAAATCTCAAAACCAGTTTAGAAGCATCTTGGTTTTTCTTTATAAGACAAAGGAAAAAAAAAATTGAACAGGTTTAAAAACTATTCAGAATTTAATAGATATCCAGTTTCCCACCTGTTAAAATGCCATTAAACAAAACACTCCAATTTATTATATATGTTCATTAATAGATTTCATGGATATATTACACTATATTCACTAATCTTATAATCTTTGTATTTCCATATTCATTCATATATTTCCTGAGCTTTCAACTAATCTCACACATAGAAATTATGTCCAACAGAAAAAAGACCTAATGCAACTCAAGATAATAATCGATATCGTTTAATTCAATAAACAATTAATATCATTGTTTAAATGACTCCAAAAAAGAACTATAAAAATTGATCAATCTTTATCAAACAGATCGTTTTACTATATCTTCTCCGGCTTCTACAACTCATGCAACTTCCTTTTCCCTTTTCTTGATCTCAAACTTTTTTCATCTTCGCCTGTAAAAAACAAGATATTCTCCATATGAATACTAAATTCAAATACAAAACTAGCAATTGTAAATTGTAAACACATATAACTTATATATACTTACTTGTAGATGAGGTCACACCTATCGTGGATTCCCGAATGATCACTCCACGAGATCTTGGAACGCCATTGATCCCACCATCATCGTCACTTTCATCACCATTGTCGCAATCCACAAGAACAAGTAGAAGGGATGGAGTATCTCCGACTTGAAACGACCATAATTGCACAACCTTAGTCTCCTCAAGTCCATTCTCGTTAACAACCTGATTCCAACCGGACTTCAACACAAAGTTTTGATTTCCGTTCATATCCCATTGTGTCAAACACACTTCGTAATATTCTTCCCTTGATGGCACATAAACACGCACCACTTCTCTTAATTTCGCCATTTGAAACCAAATATCTCGTCTTTTAACTTGCTTTAATGGCATCAATAAGCGGCCTTGCCCCTTGTTCACATCGCTTTTTGTTAACAGCTTTTCAAACACGAATTCCACCTTCTCTGAACCATTTATCTTCTTTATATAACTCTTCACTTTCGGTGGAAGGTCAGTGTGCTGTATCGTATTCTCATCATGGTTAAGTTTACGACATTTCTCACCACGATTATGTGATCTTGACGTTGATGGGTCTTTCGTTAGGTTTGAATCAAAACCATAAACCCTACCTGTTGTTGAGGGTTTTCTTTTCTTGATTTCACAAGCGACGATGTTTAAAGAACTGGAATCTTGATGAATGTGTTTTCTTTCTTTGATTTCATTCAGCTTGCGTTCGGCTTCTGCACGTAGAGTAGCGGAATCAGTAGTAGGGCATTGATACCCAATCAATTGTAGTAAACCCTTAATCCTTCTTTTACAATTTATATCTTTCTCTTCATCGCTTTTTTCTCTTTTACGAGAAACACTAGTTTTGTTCTTCGCCATGGGAGGTAATTGGTTTGTATTGTGAAAGAAATCAAATGAAAAGACGAGGGAGTGATTGTGATGAACTGATGATCAACGTCTTTGGCGACGATTTTAGTCGGAGAAGAAGGAATATATTTATATTAGTTTTTATGAATTATGAATATCTAATCCAACTGGAAAATCTAGATATGCTATAATTGGAATTTTGATATGTTAAATGTTTATCCTCCTATATCTTCTCCAATATTTTAGTTGGTGTATATTTATATTTAATCATCTGATTTATATGATTTATGGTTTTTTGAACTTCTGAAAACGTAATGATTCGTGAGATCATATCATTTAACGCTGATGCACCTTAATATTTCCTAATTGTATGTGAAATCAAGTAATTTGCATGCTGGACCCCAAACTATAATCAATCCGGAAAAGGCTTTAAGATTTTTTTTATTTTTTTTGGAAAACAAAGGCTTTAACATTCTTTACAAATTAACAATTTGAAATCAATAAGAGTATTCACTATTTAAAAAAAAAAAAAAAATTGAATTGTTTCATTGGACAATCTTGATTGTACTATTTGATTCGGAATATATAATCATGTACTAATTTGCCAAATAACTTTTAATACAGTATCACATAATAATATCCTTAATACATATATTTTTCTAAAAAAAATGTTTCTTTTTTATATGTAATATATAAAATTATAATGTACTTTTTAGTAGTTGTATATAAATTTTAATATTCAACTAAATTTTGCTTTTTTTAAGGTGGCTAATGTTGAAGTTATGTATTTTTTTTAAGCCAACACTTGAAAACTAAATTGTAAAAATAGATGTAACCAAATTGTGTTTGGATTTATTTGGTTATTTTAGAATTTGGTTTAGACTATCCATGTTGTCGCTACAACTTTTTCACATATTCCGATCGAATACCTATTGCACCGACTAGTCATTGGGATAGACACTAGGCGCATATTTTTTTTTTTTTTTTTTTTTTTTTTTTTTTTTTTTTTAGATTCATTACATTTATCATTCGTTCATTTTTAAAAAATCCAAACATTTTGCAACATATATTACTTATATAAAATAACTAGCTACTATTGTTTAAATTTAAAACATCAAATTCAAGTTTAATTTTACAAAACAAATTACATAGAATAAGTATTTAACATTGTACAAAATAACACAAAACATCAACCATCATTATCATATTCTTCTTCTTCATCTTCTTCTTCTATCCTCTTGGGTCGATATTTTGTTGAGAAGTATTTCCTTGCGTGGTACCTTCTTATGTGTTAGAGTTGAATAGAAAGCTAGGAAATGGTAGTGGTTGGAGGTTAGAAAAACATGCCCCCAATGATGCATTATATTGTTGCAAGTATTCTTGCATTTGTCGTGCATCAAATGGTGATTGAGATCTGGATTGAGATTGGGAAGCTATGGTACTGGAAGCCCGTTCATTTGGAATTAAACTAAAGTTGGCGGTTGGCCTCCCATCCACTCTACAAGCATGCCCACGTCGCGTCCCGAGGGCATGTACTATACATTCTTCCTCATTTACTTCTCCTCCTTCCCCGACCTCGCTTTG